ATTAAACAATTCATGTAGATGAAAAGAACAATGTAGTCTAATCAGTAACCACCGCAGTATATTATAGTACTGTTATCACATTTCCACCCGTAGAATCTTTTGTAAGTGATTCTGTTGTTGATTTGGCGTCATCGTACTGCACTGTTGATGTTTAATTTTACCACCTGTGTTCTGTTTTGTGTCTGGGTATTTATCTTTCTGGAACATAACGATGCTGTATGGCTGTATATGATCTTTGGTGGCACAGATATTAAAACGCTGAAATTCCAGCTGCAAATACAGTTAAACGGATAATATAACAATGTGACTGTGGTTTATGTTTTAATTATTCAGCATTACGTATTAGTTGACTGGAGGTGGGTGGCCCTCAACAAAGGTTACTTGTTTAAGATGTTAACCTTCAGTTTTAATGGTGCAATTTTCACACTGCTAAAATGTGTGATCCACCCAGTGCTATTTATTAATGTATAGTGGATTGAACTAAAGGATAAATGGGACTCTGAAGTTCAAGGCTGCAGCTCTTTGGTTTGCGATGTGAGACCTCTGTCAGAAACCCTGGGGGCCATGTCGACAGCCGGCAGGGGGGTGGGCGTCCAACACTCTCCATATACCCTTTTGTCTGCCCCCCTCGTGACTGACACACATGGACACACTTACATGCACACATACACACTGTCCCTGTTATTGTACCAGTGTGCCCCCCCTCAGCTCCTGTGTGACCATCTATGCCATCTCATCTCTCCCCCGGGTTCCCCATATCGCTTTACTTCATAATTTAGCGTGTTATTTTTTCTCCTCCCTGATCTATAGTCCCCACATCACAGAGGCAGCTAATTAATTATGGATGGATGCAGGGGGTGGGGGCTAAGAGAGACTAGGGGGGGCTTTAAAAAAACGACCAGACATCCACCTCATTACATATGCGCAGTGTTTTTGGAGCTTTATTAATTTATATCTTGTCAGGCTATGCCACAGCCTTCAGAACTCTTTTGGCTTTTTAATACAGTTATTTATTTATATAGCGCCGCACACTGACTTTTGCCTTCATCCTCCCACTCTGCGCTCGCTTTCTTTTTCTCTCCTTTCACACCACCCTGTCGAAGTCTTGATTTTAATCTCTCACCTTCAACATATCTGCATGAACACACAGACATGCGCACTTTCCTGCCGACTGTCTCATTATCTGCTCTTGGCGGATGTTAAAAGGTGTTTTGCTCACCTGCAAGAAGAGATTATCTCCTTTCCCTGCCGAACACTGGTTTTATTAATTTTTTTCTCTCGTATATTTTCTCATTTGGTGTGGTAGACGTAGCGTGTAAATATCAGAGCACTGAAAATGAAGGAATTTATTAGATTGAGCTGGAACTGGAATGGCAGTTTGAGTACTTGCACTCAAAACTTACTTCTGCAGTAGCATTTTTTAATGACCCCGTCTTTATTAAATACAATTAAATTAAATATTACAGTCTATATAATTATATATTCCTTTACTGTAAAAGAGTGGTGGGACTAGCCTCAGGCAGCAAAGCTAACAGGGGCCTTTGAGGGAAAACAAATACAAAGAGGTGAGGAAAGCCCTCCGGCTACTTTAACAGAAGCTGCAGACTTGGACTTCAGCCATCAAAAAACACACACACTTTGCAACATCGACACTCGTTGTTATTCTCAAAAACACAGGTACATGCTCCTAGAGCACAGTCCAGTCAGTGTGGGAGGATTTGACATTGTCATAATTAGTACAGTCAGAAGAAAAGAGTTAAATTTGGCAAAGGGGTTTTCTGTTACACTATCTACATCTGTTGTTTTTAAAAATACTTATAAAGATGTCAGAATGCAAAGACAGTCATCAAAATCTTAAGATTGAGCAGATGTTTTTGTGCTGTGTTCTCTTTTGGAGAAACCATCTGTGGTGCGCATTCCTTCAGGCATCTTTTCCACTTCACGGGCGCATGCGACTTTACCGTGGTTACACTACAGTGAGATTAAGTGATCCTTATGATGAAGCGAGCTGCTGTTCTGTGCAAACAGTTCCTGGTGTGAAGCATTTATGTGTAAAGACGAACTCAAATCAGCCTTCGATCATCTATTGAATAAAATTTGCAAATGCAACATAAAACATGTGTGCAGGTAGGTACAAAAAGACTGCAGATGCTTACATTTTTTACATGTCATATCTAGCCAATAAAGCCACAGTATCCGCCTTCACAGATGAATTGAAGTTCGAGAAGTCAGGAAAAGGAAGGAAATAAAGGTTCAAACGAATCCCCCCCCAGTGAAATATTGTTTCGGTGCACCCTGCACTTTGTAGCCCTAATGCAAGCTTTGAACTGTTTTGGCACCTGTCACAAAAACTGATGGAATAGTTTTTCCTTGCAGAGCACTTTCTTCTTTATCCTGCTCTCTTTCCCACAATGTCCTGTTTTTCCTGCCTTCTACCTCCTTTCTCTTTTTCTCCCGGAACTCCTTTCCATTGTGTCTCGAAAGCACCATCAGCTTGTATTTGAACAAAGTACTTAATTGAATTTTCTTCTATTTTTCTGCATTGACACCCTTAAAATGCCCAAAGAGGAAAAAAGTTGTGTATTATTATTATTATTATTATTATTATATTTTAACCTATTAAATAATTGTTTTGCTTTTTATTAGAATTTAATACAGAAGACTGAAAGAAGCAAAGGGCAGTATAATGACGACTGGTAGAAAAAACGTTCTGCTGACACAAATTCAATAGACGGATAAATAAAACATTGGCTAGCTGCAGCTTGTCCTACAGGCTATGTTAGCTTCTAACACATTGGCTTCTACTAGTTAGCTTTAACAGCAGGATACTGAAACCTTTCCTTTTCTCTCTTGTGGCTCCCTGGACAATGCAAGCCCACGGCTTTTGACATGAGCATTTCTTCCCCCTCTGAAGCAGACTTCAAACCGCATCATCTCTCTCCTCTTTCTCCCGCTCGCTCTGTCTCTACCCTTCCATCAATTTTCAAGTGTTTTCAGATACTCTAGGCAGTTAATTAAGTAGGACATTGTCATGGGGCTTGGGTACATGGTGTGGATGATGCTGGATGAATGTGTGATAAAGAGATCGAAGTGATGCAGAGGGATTCAGGCATTCTACCTGAATATTTGTCATTTCCTGATTCTTGTATTATTTTTCTTTTTATTTCCTTTTGATCCCTCTTTATTCAGTCTTCATATCCTTTTTTTCTCCTTTCCTTTTTTCCTTTGCTTCTCTTACTACTCAGCTTTCTTTTCCTGATGCTCGCTCCCCAGTTAAACTGGTTCCTCTGGTTCTTGCTGTTTCCTTCATTTATTTCTCTTCTTCTCAACAATCTTTCCTCTCCTTTCTTTCCTCCATTCCCTACTTCACTCCCTCCTTCTACACCATCCATTTTCCCTGCACACCAATCTTCCCCACACCCGCCGCCTTCTTCCTAGTTGATTATACATCAGGTCTTCAGCAACCCGCTTCTTCCTACTATAGTATTCCCCTCTCTCATTATGTGTTGTGCATGTGTTTGTGTGTGATCAGACACACAAGGCCAGGGCTAAGCAGGCTAATGAACAAACTCCAGCATTGTGTTCAGGCCCTGGGGACATGCTGTAGCTTCTAATGTATAATAGCTACAGCTAGAGGAGGGGAAAGAAAAAATCACTGACAGTGAGCCAGCTATCTGCTTAAAGAAACAACAAGAAGTGAAGGAGAGGCTGTGTATTGTGAATATTTTACAAGGATCTGGTCAGTGCTTTCCTTTTCCCTTAGTGTATCTTATTCTTGCCTTTGGACTTGTCAGCGTGAGTGTGTTGCTCTGTAGAGCTGCACTATCTTGCTGGGACTATGAAATCTAAAATGAATACTTTTAGAGGAACACTCTGAATCTTAATCTATTGTTTTAGGGCCTTTTATCCTTCTGAAAGAAGTCCAGTTTGCATTCTCTATCTGCACATGTCTCTTATAATTTGAGTTACTTTACAGTGTCTCTAGGTTGTAAAATTTGTGATTTGTCAGCACTGATCTGGTTTATTATCCTTTTGGCTCAAGAGGCAGAGTACGGGGTGGGATGGTTCCACCCAAGTTTTAAGTCATGTTTTTTAGGATCTGTCACCCACCCTCCTGCTCTTTCTCTGGCTCTCATTCTAACTGTTGACAGGATCTGCATCAGTGCCAGATCGTGGCATGAACACTCTAATGACTTCATTTCTTCCAGCACATGCACAAATGCATATCTAGGGAACATTACATACTGAGCAGGCTGCCCAATCTACTTCTTGTTCAGCAAACACATGCGACCATACTTAATTAGTCCAATTGCATATTGAGAAACCTATTTGTCTTACACATCTATGGAAGGACACACACACACACACACACCCTCTGGGGTTGTGTACTGCAGTGATGTAAGCCAGTGGATGGGCTACTTCCAGATGATCCAAACAAGACATTCAGCTCTGGCCAATATCACCGTGAGAGCGTGCGCACACACTCACACAGACAGGCTGAACACAAGTTCATGAGCTCATTACTCCATTCCACACATGGATATAATACGCTGGAGCGCATCCTCGTGCCAAAACAATGTTACACCATTGTGATGCGAGTAATTTTACTTGGTAGATAATAGTTTATGAGCTATAGACAAAAAGCTTTTTGCTCTAATGTTGTTGTACAGCATTAATCTGGTGCAAGGCCAGCAGGAGTGTTGCACAAGCATACAGCACGCGAACAGTGCATCACAGCGCGACTCTAGACTAGAGCGTGTTATGGGAAATCTGGCATGAAGGCAAATACGGTACGCAAGCCTCGGCCTTCTTGCCTCTTCAGCTGTTAACAGCAAACAAATGATATATTTTGTCATCCCAGCTCTTATCTTGCTGTTATTCACTTCTTGTTTGCATGCCTTTCTGACTTTGTGGAATTATCTGACTCTCTTTATTCTTTAACGGTCTTGTCTTGGGTGTAAAAGTTAAGCATTTATTTTCCCCACATTTGTTTTTCACAGGATTGCCCTCAGATTCTGCCGTCAACCCAGATATACATCCCTGTCGGGGTAACAAAGCCAATCACCTTAGCTGCAAAGAACCTGCCACAGCCCCAGTCTGGACAGAGAAACTATGAGTGCGTCTTCCACATCCAGGGGGAGATCCACAATGTGCCTGCACTGCGATTCAACAGCACCTCCATCCAGTGCCAGAAAACTGCGGTTAGTATGGAGAGATTGAATGTATTTATTTTATGCAATCAAGCTGAATGAAGCGATGTTAATGGTGAAAAACAAAGCAGGTGTTGTGATGTACACTAACAGTTTGAAAGGGGGGGGGGGGGATTTCTGTCGCTCACTTGTAAAATAAAAGCAGCCAAAATTCCTGAACACTGAACAGGGCAAGAACTGCACACAGAGTAGAAGGATAACCATTAAGCGCTGTTACTTTTGACCTAATCAATGCAACTAGGTATCTAAATCATGCTCCCAGTGCGGGCATTGACTTGGCCAAGGTTAAATAATGGTCTCCTACAGGTAATGGCTATCTAGACACTAATGTGCTCATTGTCCTGATAGATGTCGTGCATTACTTGGACACTAGCATAGTCTTGATCAAAATAAATGATGTAATACTATAGAATTGATAGTTAGCAATTAGATATTGTGACGGCAAGTGTTTACATTTGAATTAATACAAATTTATAATGAGGCATTTCCTGTTCTGGTCCAAATCATAACAGATTGTCATGGCTGATGTGTAATATATAAATTATTGATCAGGTATGATGGTCAGCCATAGTGTTTTGTTTTTCCCCCCCAATGCTTCTGTTATTTATTTATTTTTTTTATTTATTCATGGCTTTGTCTGATAGGGATGAGTGGTTAGTTGGTTGGTGTCTTCCAGATTAAAGCAGTCTAAAGGAGTATTTTGTTTCTTTGCAGAAGTTTTTAATAAGTGTAGAGCGTTTGCTGGTAGGTTGAAGTGTTTCTGCGTGTAGGCCCATGCCTGTCCAATGTGTTGAAATGTGGTTGTGTGTTTATATTTTTATATATATATATAAATATATGTGTGTGTGTGTGTGTGTGTGTGTGTGTGTGTGTGTGTGTGTGTGTGTGTGTTTGTGAGGCTTCAAACTAGCATGACAGATAAGAGGTAGCTAGCGTCGCGCTTCACTGAGGCTGAAAATGTGAAGAGGAAGTCTGTCTCTGAAGCTAGTTGGGAGCGGATTGATCATGTTTACACCTCGACTCTATACCTCTCCCTCTCCCTTCCTCTGTGTCTGTAGAGCCCATCTTTCTCCCTGTCTCTCTTCCTCCCACTGACTGTCATTCTTTCTTCTTCCTGCTCTTCCCTACTTTTCTCACTCCATCTCCCTCGTCTCTAGGGCTGAACGATTATGGAAAATAATCTAATTGCGATTTTTTGCCCCAATATTGCGATTGCGATGCGATATGCGATTATTTTTTAAGGTATTTGTCTTCTGTATTATTAAACAAAGACAAGCAATACATCATATAGTATGGCCAATACTATATTACATTAATTTTAAACTGTTCTTTCCTGGAAGACAGACCTCTGTTATGATGACATGAGGTGATGCATGAATTGATGACTGACATTTTTATTTAACTTCTTCAATCACAACAGTATATTTGAACATACACAATAGTTTATTTTTAGCTTACAAACATCTGAGCATAAAGTGCTGACAAGGAACCCTGGTGTAAACATTAAAATGAAAGTCAGTACAATGTGCAGATTGCAGAAATATACATAAAAAAAATCAGTGGCTTTACCACACTCAGTTTTTCGACATCTGTGAACTACTAGACAGTCATTCAATTAAAAAATAATATTAAATAAATAAAACTAATAAATAAAAAATACACACATCTTACTGATCTCTGCAGTCAGTAACATTACACATAAAGTGCAAACATAATAGCAATTGTATAAACACACACACAAACACGCCTTTAAAGTTTAAAGGCGTGAAATTGGACGGTCTAGCCTTCTGAATCAGAAGGCTAGTTCTGATTAGCGTCACCGCTGTCTCGGTGGAGTTTAATAAACTCGGCCATCTGCTTCTTGCTATCTAAAATATAACCAGACACTGGTGTAAATTCTCGACTGTCTCATACTTCTGTTTAATAAGTTTTCTGTTTGACGTTTAGTCAGCTGTGTGAAAACCAAGGAGGAACCCACCCGGGGGATTAATAAAGTTTTATTTTATCTAATCTAATAACTTTAATCTCAGCCAAACCGATTTACTCACAAACAAACAAAACACTGAAAAAAGCCCAACAATAACATTTTTAGGTTGTCTAAGTGACTTATATATTACGTTTAACCCGAGCAGCGAAACTCCGCGGTGATCTGAAAATGATGTGCCGGGAGTTGTGCCGTTCTCGGCCGCATCAGTAACCCTCGAGCTCCCGGCTAGCTGTCGAGCTGGTGGGTAGCAGACGCCTCTGAAAACGTCGAAGCACTTTTGCAAATATGGGATATCTTGATAAACCGAGCAGATATTTGATGTTTACACAACTACTTTCTCGCCTGAAAATATGTTAAAAGTTTATTTTGTGACCCAGAAAGATTAGTATGAGTAATTTTAAAACTTAGTAGCGGCCGCCATTGCTGGAAACTGGAGTTTGGCTGGGCCGCGCTATGAATTCTGGGATATGGTAGTAATTTGGACAGCCTTCGGCGCGTCGCTGTGACGTAATCGGTCTACAAATGCGGCCTCAGGAGGATGCAGCCCATGAATTGTATAATATAATCGCAGTATAATCGCAGCCTTTGCGGTTAGAAAATTGCACTTGATCATGTCGCGATATTATCGCAAATGCGATATATCGTTCAGCCCTACTCGTCTCTCATAAGTTCACTTTTGCTACTTGTTTCTGTTCGTGTCTGATTCCATCCTAAGATATACGATGCCATTAGAGCTGCTGCTGTTAATTTAGTTTTACATGAGGATGTTTAGCTGCCACAATAACACACTTGGAAGAAAATAGATTCAGAGACAGTAGAAACCTCAGGATGTCTCTGCCTAATAAGATTTAGCACTTACTCACTTCTCAATTAGCAGCAACTGGTCATAATAGGCACAGATTGCCACAGGAATTCAGACACTGGCAGACACATTTAGAGTACAGGGTAGCAGTAGTCTCTGTTTAGCTGTATAGCTTGATGTGTAGCTGCTGTGACGGCTAGCACAGTGTTTGATTCTGTCTGTATCGACGGACAGTCTTTAGGTGTTGGCACACGCGAGCCAGTTGTTTGTGAAGGCAGGGCTAATTACCTAACGCAAGGCTTGTCTCTCCACAGAGATGCTTGTTTATTGACTGTTTATTGTAGCTGCAAGGCCAGTGTTAATCAACAGCAAAGCCTAGCCTCAGTCAAAAGCTGAATTTCTCCATTTGATGTCCACAAAGCAGACATGCTAGCAGTAATTAGCGCGGGACTGTCAACACTTAGCCCCTGTTAGCAAATAGCAGTGGCATCCTGACTGTATGGCCAGATATCGATGTAGCGTGTTCATCTAGTGTGCATGCATCCATATTTAGTTTCAGAGTAGGAAAAAGGTGCCAGCTGCATGAACTTGCAGTTAGGGCATAATTCATACTGGCTCAAGATTAAGAGTTTAATTATGTGTCATGAATTATTACTTTGAGAGTCTTATTATAGCTCTGGAGCGGCATTTTGGAAGAAGCGGGTCTTAAATATTAGTTTATCTATTTATAGACCTTTATATCTCTACTTTCTGCAAGCACCCCTCCGTGATTGTTCTTACTTTGACAGTGTTCAGAACCAACTCAATAAATCATGAATGGTTCTGCAGTAGAAATAGACTTTATCTGTTATACTGTGTGCACACTGCTGCCTCAGCTTGCAGGCATACAGCTATGAGGATAGGGGTCGATCAGTGTTTGTTCATGTGTGCACATCTGCATGCTTCTATATTCCTTAGGCTACGGATCCCCGGGTAGCTATGCATGAGTGTGTTTGGATGTGCAGTTCCAGAAGAAGACTGTAAGGGGCATTACACTTGCTGATCAGTGTGATAAACACAAGCGCTGCATAATCCACAATATAGCTTTTTGTTTGAGATCCACAGCAAGTGCCATATGAGACACATTACTTAGAAAAGGTGAAGATGAGGGCTGAGATGAGACGTGTGCTGAGAATTTCTATAAAGTGAAGAGGAAGTACAGAGTGGACAGTATACGTGAAGGTGGGAAATGTTGATGAAAGGAGAAGGGATAAAAAGAGTGGTACAACTACAAATCAGTGGAAAAAGAATATAGGAGAAGGCAACGTGGACTAGGGAAATTGGTGCGTAGTTGACAATTTCAGGTGAGATGAATGGAGAAAAGTGAGAGGGAGAGTGATATTGAAAAGAACAGAGGGGGAAAATGAGATGAGAAGCTGTAAGAGAGAAAATCAGCTCAAAAGTGTCTCCTGAGGCCAAAACTCATTCTCCTTTCTTTTATACAATATCATCAGACTATCCGAAAGAAATAACTATCCACAGGATATTCAAGACATCCACAGTCGGATAATGTTTAAACTTTAGTTTCCCATACCTTACTGCTCTTACAGTGACCATAATAACTCAATGCTCTTGCGTTGTATCTCCTAACAGGAGGCTGTCAATATCCAACTGCATATGTGGCAGACATGATATATGATAGTGTAACTTCAGCTCTATGCTAACCTTGTTGGGTATTGACTTTCCATATCTGCTCATGGGAGAAAATATTGGTGCTGTGGTATTTCTGTATAAGGTTACTGTACATACCAGCTGATCCCAACGGGGAAAGAGCAAGCATATCATAAGACCAGAGAAAGAATGCAATATTGGAAAACGGTTTTCTTTTGCAAGAGGGGACACGAAACAAGCCTTTGTCTTCATGGTGTTAAGACTTTGAAGAGTCATGCATTTAGAGTAAGGGTTTAAAAACACTGCTCAGAGCTCTAATTTCTGCTTTACATTTTTAACTTTTGAAGTTGGGTATATAGCCAAAAGTAATTCAGCATTTATTCTTTAGGAACCTGTGAAAGTTGGTGAAATGGCAGATTGTCAGAAGTCCATTTGCAAGTTAATTAGAGAAAAATGCTGATCATTTTATAAGAAGAAAAAAAGTGTCCTATTCGTATTTATTAGTGCCAAACAAGCCCACATTACTACTGACACATACAGAGCCATCCGCTA